GTTTAGCTAAAGTTTCTACTGTCTCTCATTTTTGTTTGAGTGAAACATATGATATGCACACTGTCTTAGGAAATTGTATAATCCCAGTTTGTACACAGCTTTTCACATGGCACATGCCACACACATGGGAAAGTGGTTTTCTAAATGGATTCTTGAAGGTATCATTGGTTATACCAATCTCCATGATTGGGAAACAGTGACACAAAAATTACCCCTGGATGCAATCTCATTATACACGCCTAGAGTTGCAGCACCGCCAGACACCTCTTGTGCTCAGATTGTGAACTGCAGTAAGAAAGCAACTCGCTGTCTGGACACAGGAAGGCCGACTTGGAATTGTTCATGTGTTCAGCAGATTACTTTTAATTATGCTCATGTGCGTTTACCAGATGATTGGTTTTTCATGTGTAATCAAAGAAGTTATAACTACATTTCCACCAATTTATCTGATGTTCAATGTTGCCTTAGCCGAATGACATTAGTTATGCCTAGTCGCTCACTTTTAGAACAAAACAGGCAGCAGCACTCAAAGCGCCCTCAACGTTATGCTGAAAGATTAAGACATGTGTGACTCCAATCTACAGCTTTTTTCCAAAGCAGAGTATACTTCTTTGGCGGCTTCCTTAGTGGGAGTCCCTGCTTTGGCTATATACAATGCTCGCATGGGTGCTCACCTGGCCTGTTCTCTGACAAAATCTATAAATCATACCTCACGTGCTTTAGCTCTTTTAAATCAAGAACAGATTTTAAGAGAAGCTGTTATTACACTGAAAGCTTCTGTAGACTTACCTCTTGCTACGCCAGCATCTAGGATGTCAAGTTGTGTCTAATCGTTGCTGTTTTAATTTGACTGATAATAGTTACCATGTGCATACTCAAATTGATCAATTGCAAGCACTAGCACACAACATCACACAGGCTGTTCTTCCCTCCTGGTGGGATGTTCTGTGGTCTTAGTTACCACAGTTTGGGTGGTTTCGAACCTGGCTCATGTATGGTTTGCTAGTCATTGTTGCCTTAATTGGAACTTGTTGTTTTTTACAATGTATCCCCTCCTTATTCTCTCTCTGCACTACATTTTTTCCACGCCCTCCTCCAGGAATGTCTGCTAGAGATCTTTATGTGATACAGAAACACATGCAGGAAGATTATGAGGACGCAATGCCTCTCCTCTCTTAAGTCTTCCTGTACACAAATAAAAAATAAAAAACGGTGAGATGTAGGAGTGCAAATATCCAGAGTTGTAGTGATCAGGTGGGATTGCTATGAGGAATTATAACAAATATAGAGTAAGCCATCTGTGTCAGCAATGAAAGCATTGCGTTGACTGGGTTTAAACTATTTTGATATGATTTTTCATCAATCTACACCTCTGCATCTCTGGCCCTTTTGACCCTACTGCCCATTTCTCTCTCCTCACGTCACGTACACAGCGTACACAGCAGTTGCTTCGCCAGGCAGGCTTCCTGGGCCATAAAGATAGTAGGCAAGTTACTTTGATATAGTTTTCTTATATATAATCTTAAGATGTTAATCTTGGAGCCAGGAAACAGATCTCACATGAAGGTGGTCGTGATCTGGTCTTTCTGGCCATCCTTCCTATCATGTTTATTTCTCACCTCTGGGGTTGCCAGATGCACCCCTTTGTAGTTCTCAACTTATTTACCACCCCTTTGTAGTTCTCAACTTATTTACCACCCCTTTGTAGTTCTCAACTTATTTACTACCCCTTTGTAGTTCTCAACTTATTTACTACCCCTTTGTAGTTCTCAACATATTTACCCCAAAATATATGCATGCTAATTAGTGTTGTAGTGTAACTTTTTCCCCATGTGGGGTTTGATGAAATGCTCAGAGCAAATATGATTGGTTCTTACGAGCACTGTGTAAAAGATTCTTTTGCTAATAAAATGGCCTGGTGAGGGGTGTGGTTTACGCACTTTTCTCCGAGAGCCTTGCTGGTCAAAGCCTCGTGTCTTGATTTTTAATCAGGTTCCAATCCTTCCTTTACTTTGCAAACGCAACACAAACTAATGACTTCCTAAAAATCACTGCAACCTCCCCTCCCTGCCCACATGACCTGGGTTGCTGTGTGTAAGAGAAACCTGGTGGGCAAGCAGTGGCAAGGACAGGCCCATCTGCTTCATCCAACCAGGTCAAATCCTCCATCTACAATCAGGTCGTGGATGGCAGTGGTTTTATTCATCATTGACCTGGCATTGCACAGCAACAGTTTCAGGTCATGTGGGTTTCCCTTGCCGATTCCAGTATCCTTCCGGTCAGGACCAGACCTGGAGGCAGGGATTGTCCTCAAACAACAACTAAGCCTGCCTCCTCCGTAATGATATGGTCTGGTCTTAGCATAACTCCTCCTCCTCCCAATGATCACTGAGATCAGGTATTCCAATACATCCCCCCCTGTGGAACATTGGACTGTCCTGAATACCGCCATTTGACAGCCACGCCCCAATCCAAAAGTCTCATTTTGATGCATTTTGGCTTGCCTACTGCTGAAAGTGATCTTGAGGTGATTGATGATATCATCATTTATCAGTTTTAGACCCTTAAGAAGTAGCCCTCTGCGTAGTTCCTTCCTTATTTCAGATATCGTGATATATCAATATATTGCCATGTTTAGCTGGTGATATATTGCGATATTGAAAACCAGTTATCTCCCAGCACTAGTGGGAGACCAAGGTTCAAACCCCCACTCAGCCATGAAGTTCACTGGGTGTTACTGTCCTATGCATGCCTAAACTTAAGTCCCACTGTGCTCCCCGTATGACCTGCTTTGCTATGCCTGCAATTGTAGGGATGCGGGTGTCAGGTCTAAACCACTGAGCCACTTGGGCTTGCTGATTGGAAGGACAGCAGTTTGATTCTGCACAACGGAGTGAACTCCAGATGTTCTGTCCCAGCTTCTGCCAACCTAGCACTTTGAAAGCATACCAGCGCAAGTAAATAGATACCACTGTGGTGGGAAGGTAAATGGCATTTCCATGCACTCTGGTTTCTGTCACGGTGTTCCATTGCGCCAAAACTGGTTTAATCTTGCTGGCCACATGACCTGGAAAGCTCTGTGGACAAATGCCAGCTCCCTTGGCCTGAAAAGCGAGATGAGAGCCACAACCCCATAGTCGCCTTTGACTGGACTTAACTGCCCAGGGATCATTACCTTCTTTTCTTTTTTACAACCCTCAAAATACCACAAATTGCAAAAGGAGCCAAATAAATTCTCTACGCTAAGTTGTTCACACATTTATAAAGATACAGGTATTGACAAACTACCCCCTCTAAGTAAAAGAGTTTTAGTTTTTACTTTTGCTAGAATGAAACTGCAGTCATATCTCTTCCAGACTGCTTTTCCACTTGATTCCGTCTGTGTTTTAAAATAATTTGTCGTTTGTAGACAGCATTCATTCCATCTTCAGCTAGATCTCCCATCTTGGCTTCATTTGCTTTACAATCTTAGGGTTTTTTAAAATGTGCCAAACATATCATTGTGGCGACCATAACATAGGTTTAAGGTGCCATTTGACTCTGATCTGAGCTTTTATATCTACATTTCTGATCTTGTCCACTGAATTGCTGTGGTGGCAGCCACCATTTGAGCATGTATGATGTCCGTTAATCTCGCTTCTCCAATGAAAAACTCAAGGAGGACACAGCCAACAGTATACAATAGGTTTAAAAACAAACCAAAAAGCCCGTCTTAGTGGCACACTTGGATTGTTGGAAATATCCAGACAGATCAGGCTGGATTATGTTTTACCACTCAAGAGCAGCAGTGGTAGAGGTGAATCCTATGTATTTTAATCTGATTTTTCTGTACATTTCCCCCAAGATTCTTTCACTTACCAGTTTCTAACTGATTTGACAATTCTTCTCAGTTACATAGAGAATGAAATATATGGTTGTAACAGAGGATGTCTTTCACTTAACTATATAGCCCCCCCCCCCCTGCAATTCTGTAGCTTCTAAAAGGGACGCGGGTGGCACTGTGGTCTAAACCACTGAGCCTAGGGATTGCCGATCAGAAGGTCGGTGGTTCGAATCCCTGCAATCGGGTGAGCTCCTGTTGCTCGGTCCCAGCTCCTGCCAACCTAGCAGAGCGAAAGCACGTCAAAGTGCAAGTAGATAAATAGGTACCGCTCTGGCAGAAAGGTAAACGGTGTTTCCGTGTGCTGCTCTGGTTACACCAGAAGCGGCTTAATCATGCTGGCCACAAGACCCGGAAAAACTGTTTGTGGACAAACGTCAGCTCCCTCGGCCAGTAAAGTAAGATGAACACCGCAACCCCAGAGTTGTTCGTGACTGGACTGTTAGGGGTCCTTTACCTTTACCTTTTTTTAACTGCTAAAAAGAAAGCAGTTGGGACTTATTTGTGGAGGTGGAAGGGCTTGAGGATGAAGACTAGAAGACATCAGGTCCAGTCACTTCAGACACTAGAAACAATGTGGTCCAAACAAACATTAATGGTAATCAAAACTGGAAGTTCAAACATTAACCTCCCCTTTTGAGAAGTGCCTCTCCCATGGAGAAACATGAGAACTGCACCCAGCCACAAGGAAATTAGAGGGTGACCGAAATCCAGACTCCATTGCTGGATTCACTCCCCCATGGGACTAAATAACCTAGTATAAAGTCATGTTTGGAAATAAGAACAGATAAGAAGCAGAACATGCCTTTTGCAAACATAAAATAAATGTCACTGTTTTAATACAGCAGATTTTTAGGCATTACTCTTTCAGGTGTAACATTATTTTGGGTTTCAGTTAAACACCCATCCTCCCATTATACTCTTTGATTCTGGCTTTACCAGTGTAATTCCCAAAAAGGGGCATTCTGGGAGTCTTGCAGAATAGGTCAAGACAGCACTTGTATGTCTTTCAAACCTAGGACCTTCTGCATGCAAAGCAGGTGCTGAACTAGACACCCTTCCGAAGAATTAGTACACAATCCAGCACAATTGTATGTACATTACCTTAGCTTTAATTGCATAATTATTAGTTTTCTATTGTGGACACATAGTCAAAATGCTACAACTGTTTTATATGGACTAGTTAGCTTTGTCATGCTTATCAAATCGTTCTGAAAGAGCTCTTAACATATTTCCTGGAATTTTTTGGTGTCTATCCCGAAGATTTTCAAGTGCAGTCTTGGTCTGTTGAAAAAACAAAAACAAAGGAATACATTATGTTATAGCTAAAGGAACAGGAAAAAGCTAAAGGAGTCAGAACCAGTAGCATTAAAAAAAAATCCCATTTTTTCCAGCTACAGAAGCACAATATGTAATTTCTTTCTGGGATCAGAAGTAAGGGCAGATAAGGATTTTTAGCTAATTGTGGTAGGAAACCATCTCTCCAGATCCTAAGGCATATGCAACTGGCTCCCCAGCAAAGGATAGGGAGGAAAATACTGTCTCCTTGCATATTGAACCTTGAGTATGAAACCCAGAATGCTCACCCAGACCCTGCCCTGCAGTGTTCAGCCAAAATGCATGTACCAGGCCTAAGAGGACCTATGCAAGTCCTACCAGGCATACTGTCTTGGCAGGTCCCTAAAGGGCACCCTTAACACAATAATGCCTCAGTAAAGCTAATCTTTCTCTCCACAACTTTCTCACCTGTACAGACTCAATGTGGTAGGAGCAAACAAACCACACCACTGTCCAATGACAATGTAATGCATCTTAACAATGTGAAATAAAGAAGGGAACCACAGGATAACCAAAGGATCAACCCCTGCACACCCACCAAAGTAAACTACTGCTCCTTCAAACAGGCAACCAAAAGCTGAAACTAGATGTGGGGAGGGAGGGGGTTCAGCAAGAATGAAAGCATAAAGCGCTTGGGGAGAACCAGCCATAAAAAAACCATGTTCCAAAACTCCTTCCCTTTAGCCATCAGACCCCCACATGCTCCTACCCTTAACCCCCTTCCTTTGGAAGTCCACTTCCCAAGACTTCCTTGAGAAAGGGGGGAAGTGCGACACCCCCTGCAGGAACACCTAAGATATTGTCACACAATATAATACCCTAGAGTACCCTAGAAATGACATCTGTGTTTGAAATGTCTTCTGTAAAACTGCATCTCATTTAAGAGGTTGATGGTGCACAAGCCATAACTATATAGATGCACAGGAGGTAGAGCTCCAGAAACCCACTAAAGGGCAATAAACTATAAGAAGGAAGCACCAGGAAGGAATGATTCATGGCTTCAATTATCTCTACACAAATGCACAGAGTATGGGAAACAAGCAAGATGAATTGGAGCTTTTACTACAAGATGGCAAATATGACCTGGTAGGCATTAATGAAGCCTTGTGTGATGAGTCTCATGACTGGAATGTAGGAATTTAGGGGTATAACCTATTCAAAAGGAATGAACTAAACAGGAAGAGCTTATATTGAATGGATGTGTAAACTTGTGCAAAAATTCATGATCTGTAGCATGGAAAGCAGATTGAGAGTATATGGGTAAAAATTGTAGGAGACAGAACTACAGTAACCCTTACTGTGGGTTTCTGCTATAGACAGACTGAAGACTTGGATGATGCTTTCTTAGAGCAGATTAACAAACATTTAAATAGGAGAGATATAGTGCAGGCTACTCCCCATTTACATGGGGGTTACATTCTGAGGAACCATACATTTAAGTGAAATCATGTACAGTGGTACCTCCGTTTGCAGGTGGGATCCGTTCCGGAGCTCTGGTTGGGTTTCCACAACCGGAGGTGCCTGTTCTGCGCACACATGATAGAGCGCTTCTGTGCATGCGCACGGTGCGAAAACCAGGAAATATCCTTCCGGGTTTGCCATGTGTGTATCCCGAAGGATACGTAATAAGAGGGGCACATAGGTAGATGTACCACTGTATAATCGAAACACCACTAAAAGAGCCTGCAAACTCCCTGTGGCATTTGCCCATTCCTTGTGATTATGTTTGTACAGGAGGGATGGAAATGGCTAATATAAACTAACTAATGTGAAAGCTCAGAGGCGGAGCCTACCAGGTTTTGAGGCTCAGGCCAGGGGGTTACCATGGGGAGATAAAGGAGTGAGGGTCAGACAGAGGCAGAAAAAGTAGAACACAGTGGTTGGACGGAGTGAAAAACACGGATAGAAGTGAGAGAGAAGAGTGTGACAGTGTGAGATGGTGCCACATCTAGTTAAGGGTGCGCATTTGAGAAACAGTTCTGAATATATTTAAAACTTGTTTGTTTTTCAATAAACTTTAATCTTTGTTGTTGACTTTACAACCTGACTGAGACTCAGTATTTCACCAGAAGATACCTGGTTGGTGGCAGCAGAAGAATAAAGCAGTGGTGTACAGGTCAATAGTCCGTGAAACGACCGGGGGCTCTGTACGATTGCCACACTCCCCCTTCCGCACCCACTCCAAAAATGTGACATTTGGGGTCATTTCTGGGTTTGGTGCAATGCATGGTTGCACACATATTGAAACTCGGCCTCAACAAGTTTAAGAATCAATAAGTTAAGGAAAGGGAATGCTGAGTGATGAACATAATGCACAAAAATATATATAATGAAGCCTAGCTCTGGCTTTATAGATTGAGGAAGTCAGTGTGCAGGATACAATTTAGAACTGTAAGAGGAGAAAAACATTAGGAAAAATTTCTTATGTTTTTGTATTTCCAAGTACAGAGTTCACTTACTTTTTCAGCCAGCTCTGTGGCAGTTATATTTGGATCATATGGGATGGGTTCTCCAACATATGTCCTCAGTTTCACTGGAAGTCCTCCGTAAGTGGGAAGGAGTACACGTCGAGTTTTCTCATACAGCCATTTTGTCAGCCCTGTAAAAGAAAGTGACCGCATATCAAATCGGACCTTAGTTAGCATTCTGTTAAGCAATTGCAATCAATCCATCCCAAGGAGGAAGAGTTAAATAATATGAGTACTTGGGGAAAGATATGCAACATATTCAATCAGCTCTTCTCATCTCTTGGCAATTGGGATCACAAGTTGTACAATAGACTGCAAAATATGGTTTGTTTCCTGATCTGTTCCTGTCTATGTTGGGCTTCCTACCGCTCTTATAGATTATAGCTTTGTTTTAAATCTAATAGAAAACTAAACAAAGGCATATTTACTCAATACTGAGGCAGGCAGCACAGATAAGTGTCCATGGAATAAACTCTGCTAGTAAGTAGGAAACAGATAATTGGTTTTTTTAAAAAGCATAGTCTATTATTAAAACGTATATTGCCTGAAACTGGATCTCTTGCTCAACCAAGAAACGTAAGATATTTAACTCACTTGTCTTTCCCAAGCTCCTGTATGTTTCACAACTGTTTTGTGTAAATATTGGGATGATGGGCTAGAAGAATGAAAGATGAAACAAAAATGAAAGAAAGGCGAGAACTGGATAATTACTTCGTCCTGACCACCCCACCTTTATTTTTGTTAAGGACAAAGAAGAATGCTTCACATCTGGGTTTATTATGAGAAGCAAGTCATAAATTATGCAACAGGCTTCAAAATATCTATTCAAATATCTCAGATGAAGAAACTTCACAAGTTGTTGCCCAGATTTTCAGGAACTGAAGAGAAAAAAAGGGGGCAAAGGCCATTTTTCTTATTATACGTTATTGATTTCAGTAGCTTTTTTAAAAAGCAGGGGTGGGAAATACTTGGAACTCCAGATATCATTTGACCCCCAAACAGGATATTTGCCGTCCTCAACTACTTAGGATGCTAGATCAAGGATGTCAACACAGTACGTCATATCCAGGATAATTGTGAGGGCAATGCAAATTGCCCAAACATCACTCACCACTTTCGCCTCCAAAGCTATTCGAGCAAAACCTGTGCGGTTACCCCACATTAAGCTGTAGTCAGTACTAAAGCTTGCTTCTCTAGCTCCACCAGGTGCAATGCCCAGTAAATAGCCTTTCTTCAGAATTTCCACACATTCAGCATTTGTGAAATCTCTCAATAAGACAACATCATAAAACGTCTTCAGCCCTAAAAAAGTAAGCCCCAAACAGAAAAATGCATTTTACATAACTCTTATTGAGGAAATAGTGTGGATACTATACAAGTGTCATTATTCCAAAGATATTGCTCTATTACGGATCAGCTAGGATTTCATGGAAGGGGGACTTTATGCTAGTTCCCCTTTTGCTCACATGTTCTGGCAATAGCCTTTTTTTGGGAAAGCACACAGAGTGAGATTGTGTGCTGAGGTGAGCACATTTTGGGCAAGTGTTCCTCAAGTTAAGTCTGTAGTACAACAGATTGATATTCTAGTTTGCATCATGATAAAAATACAGCCCATAGTGCCTTGCTGGATAATACAAGTCTTCAATCCCTATAGGCTGCATGGGTTTTGGATACAGTGGACATTCACACAGATACAGATACAGAGAGAGAGAGAGAGAACAGAGAGGAACCTGCTGGTGGAAACCTGCCCCCACCAGCAGAAGCCCATCTTTTCACCCAGACAGGGGGTTAGATGCTCCATTAATTTACCCAGTGGAATGTCCCCCAACAGAGCTCTCTGTGCTACTGGGCCTGTTTGGGCTCTGACCTCACTTCTTTTGCTTTATTTTTGAAATTGACGTATGTTTCCTGGGGTGGCTGCTGTTTGATGATGGGGGGGGGGGCAGTGGAGGACCATGAACACTGTGCAGCAAGGATGCCACATGTGTTTGCTTGCAGTGTCACATGGGGGCATAAAAGCTGTGCATGGGAGAGCTTAATTGACAATTGTTTAATGGGTTGGGGTTGCTATGAAAGCCCTGGACATGTATGTGGGCTTCTGCTCTTTTCCTTAGCTGTAGCTCCCACCCCATCCCAAGTGGTGTTTACTAGTGAACAGGCTCCCAAACAGGATTCCATTCTTTGCATTGTTCTTCCCAGTAAGACATATACATCTTTATTAGTGATTGATTGAGGGGATCATCAAGTTGGGGACCCAGGTTTTTTTACACCTTTTTCTATTCTGGCATTAAAGGCAGCAGCAATTATTATATGAGAACCTGTAGACGTAGTGGAGAAACTAATGACACATTATCCAGATTCCCCCCATTTTTTCATCTTGGTGAGAAATAACCTTCCCCTCCACTAACTTCCTTTTTCACCTGCTGCTGCTATTTTATTTATCTGTGGTTTTTTCCTGCTTGCCTGATACACTGTTTTATATACTAGAGCATTGTTTTATGTCAGATTTAACACGTGTTTAATGTAAAAATACATAATTTAAATATAAATAAATTACCTGGGATCCCATACAGGGCATGATCAATTACTGAATGGCACAGTTTTCCTTTCTCTGTAAAAACTTTTGTCACAAATAAGGTATAGCCGACCAGAACAATTGAGTGATGATAAATAACAATCCCTGGTCCTTTAGGGAGATGTTCCATGCCATAAATTTCATAACCTGAAAATAAAATGAAACAAATAATATTACTTTGTTGAAAGGTAAATAAAATATCAAAAAAAATTACTGGAGAAAATCAATGTGGTTCAAAAAACTGAAATTTAGGTAAAAAGCTCTGCTATATCCTTCAGCTTTCTAGATACTAGGCTGTCATCCACACGTAACAGGACTTTCTCTGTGGTCCTCCCAGAATTAATGGCGGGAAGGGGAATTTCTCCTCTCATGGAATGTTCCTTCCATGCTTTCTTCCAGGCGCAGTCTTTGATTGAGCTATTTTCTGTTTTAATCTACTTTTAGCTTTATGCATTATTATGATAAATGTTTTGGAGATTTTTAAATTTTATTTTAAGGGCATTATTACCCTTCTGCACAGGATTGCTTTGGGAAAGAGCTATCCAAGGCCTGGAGTACATTTATCCCCTCTCCCTAAGAGCTCCAACCTCAGGCATCTTCAGACCATTTTCTGAATCACTTACCAAGCTGCTTCCATGACAGATGCACCCCTAATCATGTCACAAGTAATTACAGGGTCTCATGCTTATGGCCCAGACTTGGTTTTAGTAGTGTATTTTGGATTTGTACATCAATTTCTAAAGAAATAAAAGTCCTCTAAGAAGCATTCAGAATATAGGAAGAGTCCTGCTGATCAGGCCAAAGGCCTCTATAGTCCACCATCCTGTTTCCCACAGTGTCCCTCTAAAGAGTAGCCATCACCACATCCTGTGCTGGCAAATTCCAACGTTTATGTTTCAGAGCTACCTTGTGGTTTATCATGCTCAGGAAAATCGCACCTGTCAAGGCTGCCTCAAGTCTTAGCTCACAAAAGACCAACGCCTACGCCTTCTTGAATACAAAGGTGTTTATTGCAGTTCATGCTTTGCTTGACATCTTAGGCGTGCAGCCTTACGTCTCTTACGCTAGACCGCCGAAGTTCCCTCTGAGTCAGTCCCTCCTCTGCACCAATTTAAGAGACTTGCGCTGCTCCACCTCTTTCTCTCCTTCCTTTTCCGCAGGGTCTTTCTGCCCACTGGGGTTTGCCCCCTTCTGGATTCCTCTGACGCGGAATCAGACTGCTCTTCCCCCCTCCTGCGGGCTTTGGGACCTGGCCCCTCCTCCGGGCTCCCTGCACTTCCGCGCGCCGCTACAGTTGAACTAGGCGCGCGCGCCAAACCTCTAACTTTCCTTTTGACAGTTACACTACTCCCTTCACTGCTCCCCTCCCTTCCGGGAGGGCTGCATGCTCTGACCCCCCTCCTTTCTCTGCTGCTGGAGCTGCTTCCTCTGACACACTGGAAACTCCACCCCCTTCGCTGCACTTTGGTGGGGAGGCTGGTCCTGACGCCCAGCTGCCACTTTGGGATCCTCCGCTGGCACCCTGCTCCTGACATTTCCCCTGGGGCTCCCTGGCCCTGACCACCGGCGCCCCTTCTGGGAATCCTCTGATTCGCTGGAAAGACTCATGGAATCCCTTGAGTCATTGTCGTCCTCTTCCTCGCTGGCTTGGAATTCCTCCCCCTCGCTCTCCATCTCCTGCCTACCCTGTGCCTCTCTCTCTGAACCCCTGACAGCACCCATAAAGTCCCACTAGAAAATGTTATATCAATCACATTGGCTGTGTACCCACTGCACACTTAATACAATCCCTCTCCCTTTCCACAATCCATGAAACTATTTTTAAAAGGCTTTGCTAATTGTGTCTCTGTGAGGTGTAAACAACATTTTCCAGGTTTCTTTTGGAGAGGAGGCATGCTTTAAATGTGATTAAATGTATGGTGTTTATGCAGCCACCAACTGACCCTTCTTGATTTCATACCTCATAAAAAGTTTTTTTCCTTTATCATTGTTTATTACATATATAAATACCCATGCCTGTGTTTTGATCCTTATGGCAACTATTGTTCCAGTGCTTCAAACCTGAAATTCTGATGCTCAGTCATATGAAATTATACTGGCTCATAAACTGGAATTATTGGTATGAAAGGAACATGTACTCACCATGCCATATCTTTCCAACTAGCTCTACAAATCGAGCCAAAGCATGCCTTGGCTTGTCCCAAAATTTGCTATAAAAATCATTTCCTTGGTGGTTATTCATCTTCTTGTAAGCATTGAAGGAAAATGAGATAACACAGCCAACAAAATAAAAATATAACCAATATGAATAAATCAAAATCGGAAGCAGGAATAACCACAGAGGGTGAACCACAAAGCTCAGGTATCCTTCCAAATAAGTAAAACTAATCCAGCTCATGGTTTCCTGATCTAAAGCACGAAGCTTATGCCAATGAAACAAATGAATCAAGTGAGTTTTTCCTCAGTTTTGATGCTTCCCCCCCACTGTTTACCTGGAAAACATAAAATGCAGTACATCAGTTTGAACTGTCACCCCAGAGCATTCATAGTTACATGAAATCACATGCTATTTAATATTTTCTTAGTTTTTCCCACAGTAACTAGCCAAGTAGACATATTGTTTTTCCAACATTCATCGTGGGGATGTACAACATTAGTAATGTATGATCATCATTTATTTGTTTGTAAAGCAGGCTGGTTTCATTTCACAGCTGAAGTGTTAAGGTCTTCTAGACTGAGAGCTCTGGCACTTGCAGGACTTTGTTAGCCACTGGACTTTACACTTGCTGTGTGGAGTTTGCCTCAGCAAGTACAGTGGTACTTCGGGTTACAGACGCTTCAGGTCACATACGCTTCAGGTTACAGACTCCACTAACCCAGAAATAGTACCCCGGGTTAAGAACTTTACTTCAGGATGAGAACAGAAATCGCACCACGGCGGCGCGGTGGCAGCAGGAGGCCCCATTAGCTAAAGTGCTGCTTCAGGTTAAGAACAGTTTCAGGTTAAGAACGGACCTCCAAAATGAAATAAGTTCTTAACCTGAGGTACCACTGTACTTTATAAGCCAAAACGCTCTCTTGTCTTCAGAGAGTGAAGACTTCTTGTAACAACTGCAAAGAATGTGTGTATATATAGTGTGTGTGTTTTTGCCCCCGAAGTAAGAGCTCTCTCTGCTACACAGTTGTTTCCTACATTGAACCTAACCGTTTCCTACATTGAACCTAACACAACACCCAACAAGGAGGGTGGGGAGAATGGGGAGCTGAAGTTTGGAAGCATTTTGGGATACACTACAAAGTGCCTCTTTCCGGGAATGTGATGTGGGATTGCCAGGTGAGAGCCAATGCTGTTGGATTCTACCTCTGGAAACCAAACCCTACCTAATATCACTGCCTCTAGAACTTCTTTCCACATGGGTAATGGGGGACCATGCCATAATACTCATTCACCGTATATTTATCTACAAATTACTAAATCACCTGAAAACCTGTTAGCGTCACATACAGTCATAACTTGTGTTAAAGTCGCTTCAAGTTGAGCGTTTTCAGGTTGTGTTCCGCGGTGACCTGGAAGTAATGGAATGGGTTACTTCCGGGTTTCGCCGCTCGCGCATGCGCAGATGCTCAAAATGACGTCACATGCACACGCAGAAGCGGCAAATCACAGCCTGCGGAGACACGGGTTGTGTTCTGCTCAGGATGCGAACGGGGCTCCGGAACGGATCCCGTTCGCATCCAGAGGTACCACTGTAGCTGAATTGCATATTTCTGATTCCCCTCTATTTTCACTACATCTTACAACTAAATAGTATGATAAAATTGGCAAAGGGAGGAGGCTGTTTCATGTGACAAAGGTATTTGAGAGCAGAAGCCATAAAGGAAGAAGATAAGGAGTCTAGAAATGTTGTGAAATGCTGAAAAGCTGCAGAATCATTTAGCATGCTGAATCACTGTGACTTATCTTTAGGATGACTCATTCTCTGTATAAATATTGTATCTGCTTGCAGGCAGACTCAGTGTCTGTGTGTGTGTGTGTGTGTGTGTGTGAGAGAGAGAGAGAGAGAGAGAGAGAGAGAGAGAGTCTCAGTGTGTGTGGTGGATCCTGTGCTCTGCCAAGCCTGTGCTCAATGGAAACTCTGTGTATGCTCTGAAGCTAGTTTAATCTTCTGTTCATTATGCTGTTATTTGCAAATAAGTTTATTTTAACTCAGTAAAGCTTTTATTCTTTTACTGAAGAAGACTCTGCATTATTACGTAAATTTCTGCTTCTCAGTGTTATAAAATTCAAAAACCATAAGAGCTCAAGCTCCTCTCTTGGCGCAGCTATGAAAAACCAAATTTCACCTTACAGGAACTGAGAATTAACACAACTAATAGCACATTTGCTAAGGTAAGAAGAGACTGGTTGGTTGAGATTCCTGCATTGCAGGGCATTGACTAGATTATTCTTGGAGCCCCTTCCAACTCTACATTTCTATCAATCTATGAACTTTTTTTTTTTTTACTTACATTCCTGGTAAGTCTAAATTGCCTTGGCTTCAGTCACCATTCTGTAGAAGCACCAGAAGTCCTGCCAGGTGCACTTTTTCATAAGCTAATTTCCAGGCGTAATGAGGCACGTCTGTTTCTGTAGTGGCTTGAAGAGACTGTGATGGGTGGTGCCATTTGTATGAAGAGATGAAGCATTGTGAAAATGAGGGAAGGCTTAGGGAGCTGGCTGCTTGGAGGTTGTGGCCATTTGTAATCAAACATGAAATAGGGAGTCACACCTATGTGCTATGGCACAATAACATTTTGGGTCACAGAGTAAAGGAAGGAATTGTGGCAAGTGCATTCTCTCCCTTTCATGGCAGTCTCTCCCTTCCAGTCAGGTACAACATGTATGTTGTGTAAGACACAACCTTAACAATATGTTCTGTTGCAATATTGAATCCTAGTGCATAAGTAAAAGCTCTTTCATTGGCACTTGACTCTTTAATTCTACAGCAAATGAGGATTTCATTGACACTACTGGGTTTGAATACTGAATCTCAAGTAATCATCCTCAGTAATCAGTTCTACTCCAATAAACTTGACCAGTCACTTGTGCTCCAGGCATTTTCTGAGATCTCCAATACCATCTGTTTGATCACTGAAATTAAATCCTGCCATGCTGATTTTACTGCAGGCAGCTGGTTGAAAAGCTTCTTCAGGAGTTGCCCCTGCAGTGTGCATTGCTTGATCTGGAGCAAAAACGTTCCAGGTTTACATGCTTTGACATCAAAGGGTCTCTGGTATTCGGTACATGTTCAGTATTGTCAGGTGGAGGCGAAGGAAGTCCAGCATGCATTTGTCAGTTGTCAGAGCAATGTTTGCATACACATATGATGGTCTGTTTTACTCTCTTTTCGAGAGGAGAGGTATTCCTTGTAACAGAGAAGTAGTATTTTCCTGCATTAAGCGGGATTTGTCAACAGGGGAGAAATAATGTGATAGCTTGCCTTCTTTAATTTGTTTGACATGATTAGTTTATTCTAACTTTCTCTTTTGCAATCTTCTAATGATTATTATTATTATTCACTCCCCCCTTACAATCCTTTATCACCAGCTTTTCAAGATTTATGAGCATTAATAAAGCATCTCACCTTCCTTATCCGCAAAAATGCTGTGTCATGCAGTACTTTGTCTGCGATTCAGTCACAAACACATTAAAAACAAATATCCATGGGATGTAAAAGGCAAATAGAACTGGAACAATCTTCCCTAGTCACTTCATGAATCACTTGAAGAAGAGTTAAAACCAATTAAAACTCATTAAAATCGCTTAAAACCTACTAAAAGGCAGATAAAAACCACAGGCTTTCCAGAGAGAAATGTTGCCTTGCAAGCTGTTGAGTCCCTTTCAGGCCCTGTTCTACTTCATCGCCTGACACTCCTGAGAATATGAGGGAGCCCTGTTTGCTTCAGTGTTGAGGAAGGGACTTGAGAGTGTTGAGGATGACACTTGAGAGCCAAGCTGTCTAGTGTCTACCTTATTTCACGATTCTATAGCGAGACTTCGACAGAAGTGGTGAGCGTGCCAACTTGAAAATTCCTGAGAGTATTCAGGAATCCACCAGATACCATAAGTCTCTGGGAACAGACCACCTTAATGGATCCCCCAGCCTTATAGAGGGTCACTGCATCATCACTTCAACTTTCAAATTATCCATCTCAGACAATGGGCTCAGCACAAACCTCCTTACCAATGAATTTCTATCTTCCCACTCCCTTGGAGAGACCTGAACTAGGGTATGTTCTATCTCATATTGGGCCTTTAATTTACTGAGATGGTCTCATGGTTGCCACAGAGGCCATGAGGTCTGAGCTGACGCATGACCTACAGATTTTATGGTTTCTTCATCTGCATGAAGAAACCAAGCATTGTGAAAAAGACAGAGTGCTTAGTGACATAATGTATGGAGTCACACCTGTATTAGGATTCATATTTCAGAATAACATATTGTGTAACATAACACCAGTTATTGACTAAGGATTAAAGGTAGAAGCAATTACAATTAAAAAGAAAGATAAGGAATTAGAATGGGCCACATATAAAAATCTGATTAAGAAAAAGACAATAGATTGGTAATTAAAATTATGAGGAAATTAAACAATACCTTACGGGTTGGATCCAATGCCATCAATTCCATGAAGTGTTCAGGACAGATAAGAAAAATGGTTTTTCAAACGAGCCTTCATTATTAGAAAAAGTGTTATTATAAAACAAAACCAAGGTAATATCAAAAATGTATGATACATTATTGAAGTTGGAGGGCAAAGACGAACAGGTCAAGGAGGAAATGATCAAGTGCGCTTTAGATATTGGGAAAACCATTAACTTAACAGCATGGGAAGAACTATGGAGAAAGAACTGGAAATTTACAGCCTGTGAAGTATTGAGGGGAAACCTAATCAAGATGCTTTATAGATGGTACTTAACACCTACCAAAATAGCTAAAATGTATAAGACAAAAACAAATCTGTGCTGGAGGTGTGGTAAAACAGAGGGGACATATACATGTTTAGTGGACCTGTGAAAAAATCAAAAGTGTTAAGTTGTGGGCAAACATACCAGACGACACAGCAATTCTTCAAACAGCTCTTGTTTATTCAGAGGCCAGAACAGAACTGAACTGAAGAGCTCAGTCAGCCTGCTTATATAGAGCTCCAGAACAACGTAACTGTAGCAACTTTCTAAAACTATCCAATCACTGAACGTCA